TGCTCCACAGTATTAATATATTAGAAGCCCTTATCATATTCTCCTTAGGGTCCCTACAGTAGCTCTATATATACAGCATTAGGCTCATGGAAGAGAAGGACAATCCCATATTCTTTGGAATTCGATCGCCCCCTCTCTCTCTCTCTCTTCCAAGGAGTAGTTCTATTTCTTGTGCTCCACTGATACAAGATCTAGATAGCTGTTTGAGAATACAGTAGAAGATCTTAAGGTTTATACGAGATTCCAATCAGATCTATCATACATCCAAACCGGAGACCAAAATCAGCAAGTGACCATACCACGACGACCAGGACGACAAGCTGAAGAGATCACCGTCGAGATCGCCGCCAGCCGCCGCCGCACGCGCCCGCACGCGCCACCGGAAGGTTGCAGTAGCTGGGACTTACTCGCGCACGTGAGAGCGCGTGGATCCTCCGTTTTCCGATTGGTCAACGCTGTTGACTTCGCCGTGACGTCTGCTTTCCGGATTGGTCAAGTTGGTTCGATTCCGAGAAGATTTGATTTGCGGTCATCTGTACGGGCCAGCCAGATTTACATAAATTTTAAGCAGTAAGTTTTCTTCATCAAACCTTTAGATCCGCTGCACATAGGTTTATGTTGAATGTTTGTCTGTGATTTGTCATATCGAGATCCTCATATGTCCCAACAATTGGTATCAGAGCTTGAGGTTAATCCGTTATGTACAAGATCCGGATTAAACTGCTTATATTGTCTATGTGTGCTCAAGCGCAGCCATATATATTGGATTATATGCATAACTTGGTTTTGCAGGAAGTAGTTAATCCACTATTATGGCCACCCTTTTATGTGCTTGTGCTTAATTGATGGTTGGTTGTATGGTTTTAAATTTGTTTTTAAAGCCTCGAGATTGTCGAGTAATTATGGATGAATGCTTGTATTAATTGCCCAGGGGTTGACCGGATAGTTTAATTAATTAGTAGAAGGCATGTACATCCACTCGTTGGATCTAGGAATCAATTTATGTAATTTTGTAAATTATATTTTTCGAATTGTGATCGACCGTTGGAGACCGGGCCTTCACAAAGATCCAAAGAGACTCGACAAAGCAAGGAAGAAACCGGAGCCGGGAGCCAAGGCTGGCCAGCGCGGCCGCAGCTTCTACTAGTGGAGGTTTTGTGGAACTTGCAGTACAAGTCAACAGGGATTCTACTGCAGTGGGAG